AACAGCAAACTAGAGGAGGTCGAACCCATTTGGTTTGAACGATTTATTGTCGAACTGTCATTCTGAAAACACTTCTTCGGTGATAATCAGTGCTGAAAAAAAGGTCTACTGTCTCCTCACTTGAACCGGTTTTGTTAAAGACTTCTACCTTACAGCAACTGCCAGAGTCACCGTAGACTGTCTCCTCACTTGAACCGGTTTTGTTAAAGATTTCTACCTTACAGCAACTGCCAGTCGTCATAGACTGTCTCCTCACTTGAACCGGTTTTGTTAAAGACTTCTACCTTACAGCAACTGCCAGAGTCGTCGTAGACTGTCTCCTCACTTGAATCGGTTTTGTTAAAGACTTCTACCTTACAGCAACTGCCAGAGTCATCGTAGACTGTCTCCTCTGAGGTTTTAGTGACCAGTGACTGTGCAGTCTAAACACTGAGGTTTTAGTGTGTGGAATACGTTTTTATATTTCAACTCGCTACCTAACCAACAGTACAGCTATGACACAAGTTGAAGTCAACAACACTTAAAACGTAAATTATAAAGTATTAATGGGGCCTAAACCCACAAATAAACGAAAAACTACACACCTCAACACACGTGGTATGGGGCCTAAACCCACAAAAAGACGAAAAACTACACACCTCAACACATGTGGTATGAGGCCTAAACCCACAAAAAGATGAGAAACTACACACCTCAACACACGTGGTATGGAGCCTAGTCTACGGGTTTGTTGTTCCCCTTTTCTACCACGTGCTTCATTAATATGAATTACTACTACTAATATTCTAATAGAAATATGATAAGGCCTATTAAACTGAACCGTACAGTGCCACTAGGGACCAATTCACAATTGTCATAATTAAAAAATGATCGAACATTGTTCCATAATTTCAAGATCCACCCTTTTTATCGAGCATAAAAAATATTGAAATATGAAACCAGGTGTGGAAAAAGGATGTCCCGTTATACATAAATTTAAAAAAAATTACAAAAAGAACAAACATAAACAAAATTTGTTAACTCTGTCGGCATGTTTTTTTTTTTTTAATGATGATATTTGTAAACGGTCCCTTGGGGTTAACCATGTGTCACGTCACCTTCGTCCCCTAGACCAGTGATAGCCCAAACAAAACAGCTGTTTCGAGAAGAAAGTCCACTTTAAGGCTTTTGTTTCATCACCCCATAAACTTTCGGAAATGTTTTTGCCTGTAGACAAACGTGCTGTTCCCAGGGTTAGAGTGTAACGAACCACCCGATTGGTTACTGACGACCTACGTAATACAAATAGTCTGTTGGTTCTCTTTCTTGATACGTTAAGGTCTTCTATACAAATACAACAACCACAGGCAGGCGTTTTTAGAACACAATTCCAGTCAATAAATCTGTATACTACAAACTGACAAAGTTTTTATACTACAAACCTCCATTTCTGAAGTGAATATATCGTAAAAGTACCTGTCCTAAACTTACACCAGAGGGACACTGATAAATAATTACCAGTTTTAGGACAGGGTCCTTTTGTACGAACAAATAATAAACTAAAAGTGCTTTTCTATCTCTTTCAAAAGTAGAAAAATAATACGTGTCAGTCTACAGGATATGACGTGTTCGGTGATTTGGGTGAAATGCGTGTCAGTAGTGTACAGGATATGACGTGATCGGTGGTTTGGGTGAAATGCGTGTCAGTAGTGTACAGGATATGACGTGATCAGTGGTTTGGATGAAATACGTGTCAGTAGTCTACAGGATATAACGTGATCGGTGATTTGGATGAAATGCGTGTCAGTAGTGTACAGGATATGACGTGATCAGTGGTTTGGATGAAATGCGTGTCAGTCTACAGGATATGACGTGGACCAATGAACTCTATCCACAACAGACATCTTCAGATAAACTCCATATGATTTCCTTCTGTGACGCTACAAGTTACAGCCGTTTTTCAAGAGAACTAATGATTCTGGTAAAACAGTTTTCTTCAGACGAGTGGTTTTTTAAGGTTTAATCATTTTAAAACTGGGTTTTATTTTTTTATAATTACCCTGTACCTTCAATAAAGTATTTCTATATTTACGTACAAGGTTAAGTTTCTACGTGATATTTTGAGTGGTAAGCTTGGCCGTTAAC